ATGGGAAAGTAAAGTCGAGATTGCGGATCCATGATGGGCAGCAGGAAGAAGAAGAAGATGAAGGGCGGACAACACGAAAATACGAAGCGGCCATGTGTCACCTCCGCGGGTTATGTTTGCAAAACAAAACGCCTTTGACCGTGCAAAGGAGGCTTACAAGGATGCGCTGAGGATTGATGTGCAGTGCTATGAGGCGTTTAGTCAGCTGGTGAAGAATAACCTCATGTCTCCCGATGAGGAGGATGAGTTTATGAGCTTGTTGGATTTTGGGTCTGTCGGCTCGGAGAGGGGGGAGGAAGAGCCGGGTGATTACACGCACATGCTCTACCAGACGCAGCTGTCCAAGTATCGACACCCGATGGCGTTTAATACTGCTGTGGAGAGCTTAACTACTCATTACGGCTTGGAAGGAAACGCGGACATCATGCTTGCGAGGGCGGACCAGCTGTACACGCAGTGCAGGTTTAAGGACGCGCTTGCGGTGACGGAGCGGGTGCTGGAGGGGGATCGGTTCAACTTTGGGGTGTACCCGATCCATCTGGCGTGCTTGTATGAGCTGAAGCGGACGAATGTCTTGTTCCTCATCGCGCACGAGCTGGCGGATAGTTACCCAGAGGAACCGGCTTCGTGGCTGGCGGTGGGGATATACTACTTTGCGACTGGCAAGATTGCCGAGGCGAGGAGGTATTTCAGCAAGGCCAGCATGATGGACCCCAACTTTGGGCCGGCCTGGATCGGGTTTGCGCACACGTTTGCTGCCGAGGGGGAGCACGACCAGGCGGTGACGGCGTACAGCACCGCGGCGAGGCTGTTTACGGGCACGCACCTGCCGCAGGTGTTTTTGGGGATGCAGAATCATGCCATGAACAACATGACGGCGGCGGAGGAGTTTTTGAGGACGGGGTATGGGCTTTGTAGGGAGGATCCGCTGTTGCTGAACGAGATGGGCATTGTGTGTTATCATCAGGACCGGGCGAAGGAGGCGGCGGCGTTTTTTAGGGAGGCGTTACGGGTGGCGGAGGAGACGGAGATTGAGAGTGGGGCTTGGTTTCCAGCACACTGGCGGCCCGTTACTAGTGGATC